CTGATGGTAGCCACTGTAGGCATCCAAGAAGCGTATTGCTCGTGTTTTCCGTTGAATCGATGAGTTGATCTATACGTGGTAAGGAAAAGCTATCCTTCAGACACGCTTTGTTGAGGCAGGTGAAATTGACGCAGACTCTCCACTTGTCGTTCTTTTTCTTCTTCACTACAATTGTATTAGACAACCATTGTGGGTACTGGACCTCCCAAATTGCCTCCGTTGCTAGGCGCTTATCCACATCTGTAATTATTGTTTCGGTATGCTCGACTGAGGATCTTCTGCTCTTTTACACAACAGGCCGAGCTAAAGGATTGACATTGAGTCTGTGGCAGGCAAATTCAAGATCTAGGCCAGGAATATCATATGCTGACCATGCAAATACTTCTACATTTTCCCTCAACAAATCCAATAACTGAAGTTTCTCATTAGCACCCAGCGAGGTACCGATAAGAAAGTATTTCCCCTGTGTCACCTTCTTCCACCAAAACTTTCTCTAGGTTTTCCACTATCTTTTGAATTGGAACTCCCCTGACATCTGCTAGTACAGGCTGATTTGCTACCTCAACCGTCTGAACCCTATTATAGAGCTGTTTGGTTTTCATGGAAGCCATGAAATGGTGCTTTGCCGTAACTTGGTCCTCCATGATCTGCGCTACTCCATGCTTCGTTGAGAAGCGGATGAGCTGGTGATAGGTTGATGGAACTGTTTCCATCTGATGAATGGCGTTGTAAGGAGGTGGATTGTTCACAACCAGGAATTCAATATGAAGAGTCCTCATCCCAGCTACGATAGGTAATGTTACCCTATCAAGTAGCCATTCGGGCTGGGAATTGAAGCCAACCAACGGTGTCGTTTCTGGGGTGAGATTCTACTCAATAAGACCGAGCTTCTCGAAAAAATTATAATACATGATATCTGCAGCACTACCCTGATCCACTATGACTCGTTTCACATCGAATCATTTTTCAATCCTAACAGTAATAATCAAGGCATCAGCGTGTGGATGTTAAATTCCTTCTAAATATTTCTCAGTAAATGAAATGGTACATAAAGGAGATTTACGTTATGTTCTAATCTTTTTTGGTATTAGACCAACTAACATTACTTGCTGAAGCTGTCCAGCTTTTGCAATTTCGAAGTACTTCCTCTTGCTCGAGATTGGTCGTGATATGGATTACGTTGATAACTAGTCAAGGGAGATGCACGACATTCTGCTGTGGTGGTAGGTTCCTCTGTTCGACCACGGTCTTGTCTGGATTGACGTACTCTTGGAGGTGCCCAACAACTACCAAATCCTCCAAATGCTGCTTTAGTGCTCTGCAGTTCTAAGTCATGTGCCCTTATCCTGGTGATAGGTGCACCTTAGCTTCTGGTTGCACCAAGCTAGATCTCTTAACCTCTTCAATGGCCAAACAGAGTATGGTTCCCTCTTGATTTTCTCCATTAGGCGATAGATAGGTTCCTTGAACAGTGTGATGATTGTTTCGTGGGACATAGATTTGCCTACTTCATTTACTACAACTTCCTAGGGTTTTCTTTGATCTGCTTTTCATCGGTCTCCCAGTTCAGCTGCTTGGTCGACGCTATTTTGATGGAAATTCAATCATCTTCATGACGAACATACTGCTCAATTTTGGCTCGTAAATCCTTTAGGGTAGTGGTTAGGCTCTTGGTAAGCAATTGCTTCAACTTACTTTCTGGATGCAAACTGTGCTTGAAAGACATTATTGTCATCTACTTACTGCAAACGTTCTCCTCCAGTTCATTGATTTCTTTCCAGTACCTCCTTGTGTTGTTACGCAGTGTTTCCTTCTTCTTCTTCCAGAGGCTAAACAAGGTGTTGAGCTCCTTCAGGATTTTGGTGTTAGAAACAAATCTAGCTAGAAATTCTTCCAAGAGCTGTTTCTAGACATAGATCGATCCAGTAGGGAGATGATCGAACCATCGGAATCCAAACTCTCCCAGGCTGGATAGAAAAGACCTTACACATCAATGCATGATTTTGGTTCCATAGAGACATCATCTGCCAGTAATGGCTAATGTGTATGAGTGGATCCAATTTCTTGTCATACGGTGTGAACTTTAGAGGTGTGAACTTCTTAGGGGGTTCCAAAGCTTCAATGTCTAGAGAGAAGGGATAAGAGACGAGCTGATCTAGCACTCGATGCTCCTGTTGATGGATAGTCTGATCGAGATGATAAGCCTCTCATTTTCACTGTTGCTCATTTTCTCTCTTCTCGATCAACCAAGTACGAAGATCCTGAGGATGAAGAGGATACTTCGTCTGCTGGCTTACTATTTTTTACCTCTTAGCCTTTTTCCAACGTGAACCACAGGTGTGGTTACTCGTTGCTTCACTTTGCATTGGAATTGGCTGACTTCGCTGCCTAAAACCATTTCCAAGAACTTCCTTCGCTGGTGGTTCCAATGATGGACTTCTCTAGCTTAGATAAAATAGTTCTGCGTCAGTCTTCTTCTCTGTCGGGTAACCCATCATCTTCTTGAGTTGTGACTTCAGCTCTTGTATTTCCATCACCATGGAATTGATAATATGATCCTTATAAACTTTCTCCAATAAGAAATGGTGGGAGGAGCCACCAGGAAAGGGCTAGCAGCGCTTAACAAAATTTGGAGTCTGGTTGTTGTTTCCGGTCTACTCCTCCAGAACCATCGGCAATGCCAAACCCTTATCCTTCGTCTTCTCTGTCGGTGAAGTGTATACAAATAGAGGAATGTCCTCAGTTCCCATTGCCGGAATCAAATGTAAAACTCAGAAATGAAGTTCCATACTCACCGCACCAATTGTATGTACTGAATCTCGTACTAGATAAAAGTGAATCAAAACTCCGTAGCTGAAATAAACTATGCAGGAACTGGGGACCTACAACACAGAACACCGTCAAGGCTGTCCGGCCGAGGTTGGCCAGAAAATCCCTCTAGCATGAGAATGAGTGATTAGAGAAGACAAAAGGCTCTTCTAGGTGTAGAAAGAGGAAAAGAAAGAGTTGATATCTGCAGCAGAGTTTAATCAAGTAGAGTTAAGTTACTTTCAATGTGAAGAGAGTGAGGCTTATATAGAATAGTTTACTTGTTGTCGAAGATGGTTTCATAGAGCTTTGGTGCCTCAAGGCTTCCTTTAACATTGCTCAAGGTTGGGGACCACAAGGTAGTTAACCGTGGATACATGTGCTCATTGTAACCATGCATATAACATATTGCATTCCCTTTGCTAACTGTTTCTATGATTCCCAGATGAGGGGACCAACTGAGATGGCAACCTGCACATTCTTGTGTTCACAGCTTCCACATTTTCTCGAGAGATTCCCTCAACTCGGTACCTATATGCCTTGGCTCGGCTTGATGGGCTAGCCCATTTGAATATCGGTTTATGGGCTCGGCCCACTTCAGTTCTAATAATGAGTTAGGTCCATCAGTTCCATCCATGAATTAGGTCCAGCAGCTCAGCCCAGCCCAGCCCAACATCATGACTGGACTGGCCTTTTCACTACATGTTGGGCCCAAGTACTTAAGGACTTGAGAAGATCGTTCTTCATGGTGATGGGTTTAATAGATTAGTCCACATACTCGTTTGGCCCATTTGAGTTTGGGCTTAGTGGATTGGACTGGCTCAAGGCTTGGATTCGACCTGTTTATATTCTGGGCCTTCATGTTGTTAATTTTGAGTTTCATTTTCAACGTTATAATCAATGTGTATTCCAAAAATATTATTTGAAATTGTTGTCAATATCAAGTTTCAAATCTCTTAATGGTTTACAGATATGATATTCCATATCTTTAAAAAGATACGTAAAATGACAACATATATTTCTTACTAATTTTGGATTAATCCTTAACATATACATCCATAATTTTTGTGAGTGATAATGGATTAATCCTTAACATATACATACTATTTTGATGCTTAATTGAAATTAAACTAGTGATTGTTTTTATGCAACAAATCTAGTACTGGCAGTTAAATATTTGAAATCATTGAATGATATGCAACAGGGGTTATACAGCACCAGAGAAGAGAGTGAGGCTTATATAGAATAGTTTACTTGTTGTCGAAGATGGTTTCATAGAGCTTTGGTGCCTCAAGGCTTCCTTTAACATTGCTCAAGGTTGGGGACCACAAGGTAGTTAACCGTGGATACATGTGCTCATTGTAACCATGCATATAACATATTGCATTCCCTTTGCTAACTGTTTCTATGATTCCCAGATGAGGGGACCAACTGAGATGGCAACCTGCACATTCTTGTGTTCACAGCTTCCACATTTTCTCGAGAGATTCCCTCAACTCGGTACCTATGTGCCTTGGCTCGGCCTGATGGGCTACCCCATTCGGATATCGGTTTATGGGCTCGGCCCACTTTAGTTCTAATAATGAGTTAGGTCCATCAGTTCCATCCATGAATTAGGTCCAGCAACTCAGCCCAGTCCAACATCACGACTGGACTGGCCTTTTCACTACATGTTGGGCCCAAGTGCTTGAGGACTCGAGAAGATCGTTCTTCATGGAGATCGGTTTAATAGACTAGTCCACATACTCGTTTGGCCTATTTGAGTTTGGGCTTAGTGGATTGGACCGGCTCAAGGCTTGGATTCGACCCGTTTATATTCTACCCCTTCATGCTGTTAATTTTGAGTTTCATTTTCAACATTATAATCAATGTGTATTCCAAAAATATTATTTGAAATTGTTGTCAATATCAAGTTTCAAATCTCTTAATGGTTTACAGATATGATATTCCATATCTTTAAAAAGATACGTAAAATGACAACATATATTTCTTACTAATTTTGGATTAATCCTTAACATATACATCCATAATTTTTGTAAGTGATAATGGATTTTTGTGAGTGATAATGGATTAATCCTTAACATATACATACTATTTTGATGCTTAATTGAAATTAAACTAGTGATTGTTTTTATGCAACAAATCTAGTACTGGCAGTTAAATATTTGAAATCATTGAATGATATGCAACAGGGGTTATACAGCACCAGAATATGCCATCCATGGACAATTGTCTGAGAAGGTTGATACTTACAGCTTCGGTATTGTTGTCCTTGAAATCATAAGTGGCCGAAGGTGTAATGAAATGACGGCCGAATCTACTGAATTTCTTCTTGAACAGGTACCTCCACATGAATTTTTCACAATGTTGGCCATTTTCATACAGACTCTTTACATAGAATCTAAGAATAAAACGATGTGGCAATGGCATTCTTGTAATTATGAATCATATTGATGGCCATTTTGATTTCTAATTAATGGAAATAAATGAGGCACATCATTCTATACCGAGTTTTTATATATATAAATTCTATTTATATAGCATTAGTCTAAACTTGATAATAACAAAATAAACATAGAAATTTGTCCAGAAAACTGAACATGATAGTGTAGTGTAGGTATTCATCTTGATCATATCTACACTTTATTTGGACAAATACAGTGTTGCCAACATTGCATTCTGTACAAGTTGACTTGGGGAGTTTTATCTTCTAGTTTCTAGTCTTACTTGACCTATGTGCTAAGATTTATTGAGATAGTGTGAATCCTGATAAATGCTACTCACTAAACCCTTGCTAAAAGGTGGGGGTTTAGAGGGCTTACTACCTACCTAAATTTGGAATAAGAGTATCTTTTGGTACTTCTTTATTACCTATTATCCTAATTTCTATCTATATTTCGTGTAATATTTCTGATCATAGTAAAACTACAATAACCGTGAATATAACAATATGTGTGGTTAACCATGTAAATCTTGTGTTCTTGTTTGTGCGTATGACATGTGCTTTTATTCTTCTCTATTTCTCACATCTCACCGATCCTAATTAAGTGTTATAGATTCCTAACAAAATTTTCCTATTTTGTTTTTTTAAAATGATGGCTTTTAATAGGCATGGAAGCTGTATGAGGATGGCATGCATTTGAAGTTGGTAGATGAGACCTTGGACACAAATGAATATAGAGCGGAAAAAGTGAAGAAAGTGATAGAGATTGCTTTGATGTGCACTCAGTCACCAGTTTCTACGAGGCCAACAATGTCTGAAGTAGTTGTTTTGCTTGTGAGTGATCGTTCAATGGAGGTCACAAGGCCAACACAGCCTACGTTAATTGACAAAGATAAGAAGGTTCGTAGTGACACAACCACTACCACTAGTTCATCAACATCTAATGCCACTGCATCTTTCACCGAGTTTGTAGGTCGCTAAATAGCTTGCTAATTTTTTCAAAACTATGTATAATGTGTAGCTATTGTTCATGATCAATCTTCGAGCCATTTTAGCACCACAACCTTATATGGGAGAACAAGTATATGCATACTTAATTCTTGTAATCATGTTTGCAACACTATTAGGTTTTAGGGTAAAATTTGAGCTTGTTTGAGAAATTCCTACTAAAATTGCAGCCTTTGAAATTATGAAATGACATATGTATATTTCTACACACTTGATGCAGAGTATGAAACCTCAAGGAAGGCTAAATTTAAAGAAACGATGATATTTGGACATTGGCATGATTTCATAGAGAAAATGATAGAAATATTCCATAATTATGTTTCTAGTATTATTAGAGTATTATTTTATAATTATATTTATATGTTCTGATTTTAAGCTTCGGGGTATTTGGTAATTTGTAGAATTTCTGAATATGGGTTGTGTGTGTCGCTCATGAGTTGTCTTATAGGTCAAGTTATTTAATTAGTTTTTATTTATATTTCTTATTTGGTCTTAAATTAGTTTTATAAGTCAAAAATATTATAATAGTTTCTTTTTTTTTTTTTGTTATAGTTGGTTTAGGAAGTCTTTTAATTCTATATAAAGTCATGTAATGTTTATAATTCAATAGAATTGATATTTTAGAAAATTTCGAGAGCTTTTGAAGCTTCTTTATGAATTATGTGATGTCTAGGCCTATCTTCTTCTTTCTTTTTCTTTTCTGCTTCAATTTACTGTGCACAAGTTACTGTTCACAACGTTATGACAGCCCATAAACAGTGCTAAAATCCCATTTTTTTTCATGCTTAAACTCTTACATATTTATTACCCTAAACAAATTTTACTTGTTGTAGACACCCCATTTTTGACCGACCTTAAGACTCGGACGTCATCGATTGAGTGCTCGGTGATCGCGCATATTGTGCTCGTCCTGAGGTCACGAAGTCTCGACTGAGAGCCTTGCCTCCGAGCTTCGGAACCTTTTCGTACCTTGCCTCGGTTTGCGAATCAGGTCCCATTTTCTCTGTTTTCTCTTCCTGAAGGGAGGGAGAGGTCTCGTAGACCATCTCTCAGTGGCCATAGGCTACGTTTCGTGGTCCTAGACCACTTTTCCCATTTGGAGACCAGTTTCTGAATTTCGGAGCCGTCGGCCGCGCGCCTCGGTTCGGGACCGCTTAACTTTTTTCGTTTGCTCTGGTTTTTGGCACACACCTTGTTTCCTATCTCTAGAGGGACACTGTGGCCCGGGAGACCACCTTCGTGGTCGCATGCCACTTTTGACGCTTAGCAGTCAGTTTTCGGGGACCCCAGCTGCGCGTTTTGGGCCCCGAACCCTCGTTTTGCATCGGTTAGGGTTCAGTTTTGGCATGGACCCTAGTTTCATTGTTAGAAAGGTGGTACAAGGGTGGGAGACCACCTTTTCTTCTTGGAGACCAGCTTTCTCCTTGGAAACCACTTTTCTTTCCCCTCCAGCCAGTTTTCTTGTTGGGAAACTGGTCTCCCTAACTTTTGGGCCATAATTTCTGGTCTCCCATACCACTATTGTGTTGCATTCATCTGGGAGGCCACCTATTTGGTATGGCCGACCACCTTTGGTGCTTGACCCTTTTGACCCCTTGGTCTCTCTAACTTTTGAGCCATAATTTCTGGTCCCCAATATCAGCACTGTGTTGTATTCACTTGGGAGGCCACCTTCTTGGCATGGCCGACCACCTTTTCTTGTTGACCGTTTTGACCCCTGGTCAGCCGACCAGGGGAAGTGGTCGGCCGACCACTTGAACTGGTCGGCTAGCCATCTTCTTTTTGGCCTTCCTGAGTTGCATACAGCTGTGCCAGCTGGGAGGCATTTGCCCCATCCTCCGAGATTTAACCCCTTTGTTTGTCTTCTTAAGGAAGCTTTGGCCCTTTTTGCTTAGCTTCTAAGAGAAGCTTGACCCCTTTGGTCTAGCTTCCTCAAGAAGCTTGGTCCCTTTGCTTGAGGCTTCTCCAAGAAGCCTTGGACCTCTTCTTCTATAAGAGAGGCTCTCCTCTCCATTTGTAATGGTTCAAAATTTTTGGCCTCAAGCATACATACACTTCCCTCCGTATCTCTCTCCTTCAAGCTTCAAACTCCATTGTTCTTGCACCCATTGCACTACACCTCCAAGCACAACACCTCCATTATCAAGCTAAGCACCTTGGAGCTGATTTTTAGAGGTTGAAGAGCTCCTACCTTGGTCCAGAAGTTGCTGGAGGTCTTCTCTACAAGGGTTAGTCTTTATTTCCCTCTTTGTAGTATTATTTTGCTTCATATCTTAGCTCTATTTGCATGCATATTTAGGCTTTGTCATAAACAAAAAAAAGTCTTATTTTGAGCTCCTCTTCAAGTTTGGTTAAGGTCATCTTTCTGTTGGGGGTCGTCTACCCCCTTTTTATGCTTTATTTCTTCATGTTTTGAGCTATGCATTAGAGCGTTTGTGTTGGCCTTGGTTTGGCCTTTTGGCCACTGAAATCCAATGGATTTTTAGTGGCTAACATGTGTCTTTTAGCTTCAAAATCAGAGAGGGGTGACCCTCTCACCCCTTGATTTGTTTACTAGCTTTGTTGGCCTTCCAAAGGGGCTCCTACTTGCATGTTTCAAAGCCATATTTCAGGCCCTATTTGGTGAGTTTTAAGGTCTGCATAGGCTCTGTCTAGAGCCCATTTTGCAATATAAAGTGTCTATTATGCATGTGTAGAACAATCCTATTCAAGGCCTTTCAAAGGGGCTTTCACTTGCATGCTTCCTAGACTAATTTCAGGACCTTTTTGGTGGGTTTTACATGAACTCTTTCTGGAGGTGGTTTTTCCATTTTGTGTGTCTATCATACATGTGTAGAATAACCCCTTGCATGGCCTTCCAAAGGAGCCTATCATTCTTGCATGCATTGACTGAGTTTCAGTGGGTTTTTGGGTATATTTTGGTAGGGCATACTTCTATTTTTGGCTGGTTTGGTGAGCTGTCATATGCTTCATATATTTGTAGTACAACTCATGGTTCACTAGCTTTCTTTGCATGCTTTGTTGATGCTTGATTTTAGCACTTTTTGGCCATGCCTTAAACTAATTTTGTGCATATTGTGGACTGCCTTAGCTCTATTTTTGGGTCTCATGGTCGAATGACGCTTGTTTTGCATGCTTGTAGTTCAATGTCCATGCTTAGCTTTGAGTTTTGAGGTCCACTACATGCATATATTGAGATGTTTTCTTGTTTTGGGGCCATTATACATCATATTTCAGAGCTTATGTGAATGTCATATTCCCATGTTTTGTACTCTTTAAATGCGTTTGAGAGTCGAGCTTGTATGCCTCATTTACTGACCATTGAATGAGCTCCATTTCTTTGCATTCTGAGTCATCATTTTAGGCCATTTCCCCACTGTTTCAGACCTACCTAGGGTCTGGTTGGGGTTGGTTTTGCCATTGGTGCATTGCTTTGTGTACCTCTGTGTAACCCGCTTCACTAGTTTCGATACCCGGGCCATCTAGCATGCATTGTGTGACATATTCGCATGTTTCGGGATCATCTTTTATGCCATTTCAGAGCTGTGTCATGTGTGTTTGTATGCCATACTTCATCCCTTGCCATGCTTTGGTAGAGTGGCATTTGGTGCCTTAGGATCAGTCCTTTGCATCCGTGCATGTTTGCATGTATTTCGGTTGTCTTATTTCCATCATATGGCCACTGATTTGAGTGTGGCTGAGGTCCACTCATATTGGTTTAAGTCCACCTGGCATTGTATATGCCATTTGGTACATGTTGTTGCATGTTTGACCATCGCATTGTGTATGCTTTGATTATGCCTTTGTATATGTCCATCTTCGTATATGTGCATTGTGTATGCCATATAGCTCGTGCATTGTGTATGCCATTTTAGTCCATTGCATTGTGTATGCTAGGTTGCATGTTAGTCGCATTGTGTATGCCATCTCATTGCATTGTGTTTGGGTTAGGAGTTAGCCCAAACACGGGAAACGAGGGACGTTTCGTACTCAAAGTGAAGAAACGTGTCTCAATTCCCGGTCGTCGACACTCCGGATTACTCATGATGGAGTTTAGGTCTTGTTGTGTTTTCATGTGCATTCATTTCATATCAAGTCGTGCAATTTGACTCCTCTGCCACCATGCATCGAGATGTGTGATTGGTGGCACGAGGATCGAGGTGTGCATACATATGTGAAAATACTTTGCCTGCCCCTTTCTTGCTCTCTGTTGCAGCAAACCAGAAATCAGCAGCCTTCTAGAGCTTTGCACAGCATTCCGGGATTAATTGCAAACAGAGGCAAGTCGGGGCATCGCGAAGAATTTTCCGACGAGGCGACGCGAGCATGTATGCATCTTTCATCATTCGGAACAGAGTTGAGGCGATCCATGGATTTGCATACTAGTTTATTTTGTTTTCCCAGTTAATTTGTTAATTAATTAGGGTTTTGCAATATTTAATTAGCTAGAGTAGTTAATTATTTATTCGGACTGTACTATTTATTCGGACCTTCCGAGCGAGGGCACAACTGTAATAAGCGTGCGTGTGTGTGATGTATGTCTTCCAATCTCACGTCTTTCTCTCTTTTATTTACCAGCTTACGATGGTTCGTTTTAGGGCATGTTTTAATTAGCATCCTTATGCTTCGCATGTTTGCATTCATTCATCTGTCTCGCATGCACCGGGCTCGGCGCATCATACTAACCGCATTGTATTTCAATTCTGAGTTGAATACATGTTATCTGTAGCACCTCATATGCCATCTTAGAATAGCCGAGCCTATCTTAGTTGCATCTTGCATGTGTTGCATTAGCCATCTTAACATGAACTAGGATCATGCATTGATTACTAACTAGTTTCTGTTTTGGCTTGGAGTACTCGGTGAGTGTTTATGCTTTAGCATCCTGGCATGTGTGTGAGTGACTGCCATGATAGCATGCTTGCCATGAGGCTAACTACTTATGTGATATAACTGCCTGAAAGCCTGTGGGTGAAGGTTGGATTATTTGAATTGGAACAATTCATTGATTCCGAGTTTTAAGCCCACTTGAGAGTGGCAAATCACCATATTTTCTAAGCCCACTTGAGGGTGGCAAAATCCGCATTTTAGCCTATTTGGGAGTAGCAAACCGCTTTCAAAAACAAACATGAGATGTTTTGTTCCAACTTAGGTGATCCAGTCTATACTTGTATGCTGTGCGCATCACATAGTAATTCTAGGCTAATAAA